TGAAATAAATGCCGTAGCAGGATGCAATGGGCAAAGGGGATTCTAGAGTCAGAACGAGGTTTGAAACCCAGCTGCTTCATTATTAGCTGTGTGACCTTGGCCAAATTACTTAGCCTCTCTGAGCTTCAATACTCTCCTCAATAAAACGGGAGTAATTACACCTTTCACCAAGAGTTGTCAGGATTAAATGAGGTAAATATACATAATGGGCTTGAACCAGAGCTGGTGCTCACAAATAACAGCCTTCTCTCCTTCCCCTCAGACTCTGGCATGGCATGAAATAGCCAGAGCAGTCCTGCAAGTAGACGGGTTTTCTAAACAGCACAATGTCCCAGTGTCCTGTTAGTACTGGATTCTCTTTAAGTGTCAAGTAAAGGCACTGTTGTGAAAGCCATAGACAAAATATTTTATACCAGGGTGGGGGAAGAGGGAGGGGGATGGGAAAGCATTATATTTTGACTCCCTTAGTGGGTAATTCTCAGGATTCAAGTGAGGTTGAGAGGAACTTTCCATGTTTTAAATATTCTATATCATGTAAGAATGAGGAGGAATCACTGATCAGTTAGGTTTAAAAGCTACTGAAATTTTCAAGAATCATTCAAATAAGGTACTTATAAATGCCCCTAAAGAGATGAGAATAACCTTCCACGTCAGCAGTACATGAGTTAAACATGTGGTTAATGATGATATAAAAAGAGGTGGTATGTGAAATATCAGTTCATGTGAGGCCACACTCAATAATAATTTATGTGATATCAATAATGTTTTAGTCTAGATGAACCTTCCCTATATATAAAACACTCCTAATTACTGTAAAACTGTTACTTTCCACTTACCATTGATCTTAAGGAAATGGCTAAAAATTTTTTGGACTGTGCTGACACAGCACTATTATTCTGGGTCATTATTCAGAGCAGGTGTCAATCTCTTTCACTTAATCTAAAGGCAGGAAAAAGAAGGAGTAGGTTCTTTCTGTTTAATCGAGGAGAGGAGAGGAGAGGAGAGGAGAGGAGGGAAAACACATTAAGATAAGTGCAACTTTCATAAGGATGTTAACACTTTCATATTCTTTGGGATAGGTGAAACGTATGATTTTCAGCCAGGTTCCAGAGAAAACATTACATCTTAGAAGAGAGAGAAACTTCGCTGGGGCCATAACTAGGGGTTTAACCACAAACCCAGCAGCATCTGTCCCATCACTACTGTTAAATCAGTTAAGAAAAGCCTTAAATGATGTAAGTAGAAGGGCGATGTAAGTAGAAGGGACAAGGACAGGTTTGCTCAGGGGATGTGTGTCTTTATGAGGCAGCTAGAGGGTCCTATTTTTTTAGTGTTGCAGGCAGCAGACTCTTCCCGTTCCCTCCTCAGCTTCCTCTCAGGTCGCTACCCATCTATGAATTTATTAAACCAGAGTCACTCAAAGTGGGGTCCCCCGGCACCTGCATCAGAATCACAAATGCAGAATCCTGGACCCAATGCCAGACCTTTGAACTGAAATTCCTGGGGAAGTCGGACCCAAGAGACTGATTTCAACAAGTTGTCCAAGTGCTTCTTATGCTACTAAGTTTGAGAACTTCTGTGGGAGCCTAGGAGACTTTTTTTTTTAATCTCCTCAGCACTCAGTAGACCTGCTAAACTTTGTTGAATGTTGGAGAAATGACTAGATCCAAAGAAAGAGGCTAAAGTATTTATCCCCATCTGAGGATTCCTGGAATGGTTCTACTCGGGCCTGATATTCAGTAGGTAAAACTAGTAAGGCTGTATATTTGTTAAAATATTAAAATTCTTCTAGAGAGGTTAGGAAATACCCAGTGCTCTGACCTCTGTGCTATCCACTGGCCCAGCAGTCCTGGCCTCTCCCTTACACTGCCCCATGATCCAGCAACTAAAGGGTTAACCACCTAGCAGGGGTCCCATCTATTCTCATTGGTCAGTACAGATGCCAGTCAGCCTCTCTATAAGTCCAGCCAATGTGGTGCCTTGGGAAAAGGAGCTTGTTCCTTGCCTGTGCCCCTACCCTGTGGAAGGGGGTGATGTAGATGTGGGAACATCTTAGAAGGGTGGTACCCCAGACAGTTTACCATGACTCTAGTATAAGGGTGCCTGTCTCCACATGTCACCCAGGCCATACTGGGCTGAGTCCTAGTAAGTAAAATGGCATTTCTGGAGGTGGCGCTGGTACCCAGGGGGCAAATACCCCAGGTTATGGCCACCATCAGCTGAGATACTCCTAGAGATGCCCTTGCATGGCTGCTTCTTGGAATTGCACCATCCATGGGATCTTGGCTCTGAGAGATCTTAGAAGAGACTGGATGAGCCCAAGGCATGCAGGAAATTAGAGCTTGCAAACACGAAGACTCTGTTGGCATGTTTTTACAGGTGAGAGCCTGCTTGGTACAGATGGTGCATGCAGGGGTTAGTGCGGGGCTGGGAGAGGTATAGGGAAACATACTTCTTTTCTTTATTTGGGCAAGTTTGCTAAAATCACTGAATGCCCTCCTATTATAGCATTAGCCACATTACTTTCATTAATAAAAATGAGGGCAAGCACTTACATAGCACAGTTCTTAACCCACTTATGTTACTATTATCACCACCATTCCTATTATGTAGATGAGGAGACTGAGACTCAGAGATTATTTAAAACTCAAGCAACAGAGCCGTGTTTTGAACTTAGGCAGCCTGACAGTAACCTACTGATTATCAAATAATTGGGGAAGTCATTGGAAAAGTTTCATGTGTATTTCAGACAGGGGCATTGTTTACCTAGTGACAGCATGTCAAACAAAAGGTTAGCAATAATTTTTAAAGATCAAGAAGTGGTTTGGGTAGTATTAGAAATTTATGAACTACTTGCATTAAAACTATCTATGTGTTTATGTTTAGAGAATACTGGGGATTAAATGTTTTACGCTTATTTGTTGATTAACTACTTAAAGGCTTTTAAATATTTGATGATCACCTTGGCTTTGCTTATTCAATTTTCCATTCTATTCCTTTGGTCCTACTTGTCAGCTGATAATAAAAGGTAAACTCTCAGACTGAGCTCTGATATATTGAGCTGTATTCCTTTTCTGCTTCACATTTGGTCTTCCACTGTCTCACACTTTTTCTTTGAGGAACAAGGAGGTAGATACCTGCTTTATGTGGAAAATTCTGTCCTGGTAATTGAGTGGGAATGTGAGCAAGGGGGCTGTTCCTCAGTATATTGTTGCTTCCTTCTGTAAACCCAGGTAATTGAGCTGTCATATTTAAAGTTTTATTGGTTAAGATTCAAGTTAGGACGGGTGCCCTTCTTCTGCAAGTTCCTTCAGTGCTGTTTGTGGAAAAGAACAAATAGAAAACTCTGAAGTGTTCTGAATAAGGCTGTGAGAAACGAAGTCATTGGTCTCTATGGTCTCAAGGAACACTGAAGGGAAGGGAGTTGTTTAAACACTTAAAAACGGAAAGGAAATACAAATGCCAGCCTGTGGCTCTTCCATATATTATGTCAAAACCAGCTCAGAAGTATGTGACAATCCAGGCACAACATTACAGTTTTTAGCCAGTCCAGTCATGATTCTCCGGTGAACTGCACAGTCATGGTTATGATGCATTGGGATGAGAGGTGCTATATAAATGTCAAATGTTACATAAATGTCAGGAATAATTATTGTTAGTTAATGGGGCTTAACTGTTCCTAAGCAAAACTTCGACTTCCATCCTTAGCAGAAATTCTAACCACCAAAACTCCAGGAGCAGAGGGTTCTAGAAAGGAGCCCAGTAGGGGTCTGGGGCTTAAAAATGGGTTGGGGTGGTACCAGGGCCTCCACTTGCTCAAGTGACTACAGGCAAGCCCCTCACCTCTTGGAGTCTGCCTCAGCTCACCTGTAAAATGGGGATAAACATAGCACTCGCCCCACTTCTTCTTGTGCTGGGTTGTTTTGCAAATCAAGGGAGTTCATGTGGGCGTGAGTGCTTTGCAAAGTGCGAGCTGCTGCAGGATGACAGGTCGTCTGGAATGGGCTGGCATTTAGCCTGTGCCTTCCCCTGGAGCCCGCCTCACAGGGAGAACATCTAAATGGAAATAAAGCTGGAAATGGTGGTGGTGACTGGCCGATGCTGAGAACGCCAGGCTCCTTCTCTCTGGGAGTTGTCAGGAAGATACCGCAGACCAGGCGCCCGGATCCTGCCTTCTGGCTCTGGCTCTGCCACTTGCCAATCTGTGGCTCTGAAGTGATCGCCAAGGGCCGTTCCGGCTCTGACGCTGAATCTAAATCAGGCGCATCACTTGGCTCTAGCTGTGATTCACCTTTCGCCTCCAAAAGGAACTCTTCTTCCAGCTTCTCAGAAACACGAACGGGGTGGGGGGGGGGGAGGGCGGCTTGGAAAGGGTGGGTTCTTTGTATTCCATGTGAGTGGGCTCAATAAAGTAATACCCTTGGGTGTGAGGTTGGGTGGGGGACAGTTAAGGAGTTTTGAGTGAGTGCTCTGAGAAGCCAGGATTCAGGGAACACTGTAATGGGGTCACGACTGTCGCAGTTATAAAGGAGCTGGGCATCTGCTGGTGACGGAAGAGGGGAGCATCTTGCACTTAATATTCACAGAAAGTCTTCCCGCCCCCCGTCAGGACCCTGTCTTCACCTCTCCCCGACCCCCACCCCCACCCCTTTCAAATGCTACCAGGCCCCTCCGTGGTCCTGTCTGAAACCCTGAGGATTGTTTCCAAGCTGACTCACACCACTAATGTCAGGGAGCCCTGTCACAGGCGCTGGGCTCTGCAAGCTGTTGCTTGCGCTGCCGCCGCGCTCTCCAGCGGGTGCACCAGGGTCTGCTCCTTGGGGCGGGGTCAGGGCGGGGCAGGGGCGGGGCCCGCCCCCTCAGCGCGCCAGCCCCGCCCCTTCTCCCACCCCCGCGGACCGCAATGATTTAGAAGTTCAGGAATCCCACGTGACGTCACCGGGGGGGTGATGTAATGCACTCTAAATAGAATGTATTGTAATCTTTGCTCAGTCCAACGTGGTCCCTTCAACCGGGCTCTGCTCTTGCCTTCTCCACACTTGTTTGGTAAGTTCCTAAAAATACGGCTGGGCCACTTCTGGGGCTTTTGCATTTGGCCACTTTTGTTGCACTTGCCTAGGGAGCCATCTCGGGAGTGTACTTGTTTGCAGGGGTTGGTTCTTGGCAGCAGCCGTGAGGTTACTTGGTCCAATGGGCAGGTCACAGGGCAAGGAGTAGGAAAGATGCGAAGCATTTTTTTTTTAGAGGGTGATCTGTGTTTGTACCAGAGGGAAGTCTGGCCCAAAATGCCGGTGAACGGACTGTGGAATTCTCCTGTGTCCTGAGGCCAGCCCAGAGACCCCACGTCTTGTCCATCCCGGAGCGCGTCTTGGTGGCCGGGGCGCCATGCGACTGGAGGGATGCTAACGTGGAGTGAGCAGTGTCCGCCTGGCGTGCGTGCGTGTGTGGGAGCGTGCGTGTGTTTCCCTAACACGGGGAACAGTTATGAATCGGGGGTGTGTGTTTGCCTCCAGAGACCTGGCAAGGTGCGGAACCCTCCAGAAGTGCGGTCAAGCGGTGGCAGCGGCGGCGGCAGCGGAGACGGCGAGCCAGGAACCTTCCCCCGCGTCCCCAACCTCCCAGCGATGCGGTCGAACCCTCGGAGAAAGTTTGCAAACTTCCAGCGGGCGCGGCGAGGACGCCGGGTCACCTAGCGGGTGGACAGGCGGGTGCGCGGGGGCTCGCTCCCTCCTGGGTGCCGAGCCTGCCGCTGCCACCTCTCCTGCAGGGCTGCCCGCGGCCGGTGGGCACACGGCCCTGGAGAGGACGTCGCTCTCGGAGGGCACTTGGCTCTTAGAGGCTCCGGGCGCGGAAGTCTCGAGAGTGGCCAGGCTCTGCTTGCGTTCACTCCTCCAGCCGCTCCTGCCGCCCTCAGTTCCATGCTCGCTGGCATCACTACCTCTTCCCCGCCGCTGCCCCAAGTGACAGCTGCCGCTTTTGCCGCGGCGCGGGGGCAGTTCACGGCTGCGGAGCCTCTACGCCAGATTCTCCGGGGAACCGCTTAAACTTTTCACAAAGTTCTTAGAGGGGCAAAACGTGTGAAGGAACCAAGGAGATGTCTCCCGCCGGCTGTATCCCGCTTCTTTGCCAAAGATTTGTTGGGAGGGGGTTGGGGGGATGAGCTAGATAAAGCCCAGACCTTGTCATCCCCCTCCCCAACTTTCCCTGAATGGGTGCCACCCCCACTTGACGCTTGTTCAAGGCCAGGACTGGAGTGAGCTGCTTGTATATTTTGTCAGAGTCCGCAGAGTGTGTTTGATTTTTACTTTTCCCTCCCTCTGACATGTGTCAAGGAATAAAGGCTGGATGCACATCCGTTACGTCATTCTGCTGGCCAGTAAGTGTTTGATTAACAGCTTCAGATATTCAAGGGTTGTGGGGGCTTAGAAATGCTGACAAAGCAATTCTGCTTTCCACCCCCAGCCCCCAACATACTTGTACAATCGCCAGTTCCCTGGGCATCTTTATTGCCCGCTCCTCCTGGACCCTCCTTCTCCGCCCCCTCTCCCGCCCACACCGTTACCACTCTGGCCCCGCCTCCGCCTTTTACTGCGTTTCCCCGGGCGATCACTGTCCCTGGAGTGTGGGTAAGAGCTTCTGGTGTCTGAGGGGAGCATGGTACCTGATCAGCACAGGCACAATCTGGCCTTTTCTATTATTTAAGAAAGGCACCAGCGAGCCCTCTTCTCCAGGGCGAAAATGCGCAGCCCTGATCGAAAAGGCATCTCAGGAAGTGTTTAGAGACATTATGATAATACTGTGTCCCTGTGGTGACTTAGGAAAACAACACACCCATTGCAAACAAAATAATTTTACATAGCGCCTTTCTCCAACTGCTCAGTGCAAGAGAGAAGTAGTGAGGATGCTGACTAAATCAAATTTAGCTGAAAGGATCAAGATTAAATGTTTCATTTCCAAAGTGAGGGAATGAGCCCTGGAACCCAAAGTAACATGTAATGAATTGCTGTGTTTTTTTCTCTTAAACCTTCCATTTCTATATTTAAAGAGGAAGTTAAATACCTAAGTTATTGAATTGAGTCAGAACTAAAAACAACTATATGTGACATGCTTAAGGGATAAAAGTAAAAACTCTTGGGGTATGTGTGGAGTAGAAATAAAAAAATTACTACCAGGGTTTTGGATGAAAGGGCCTGTGGGTTTGGGTGCTTTCTGATTTGGAGTGGGTCAAAGCTAAATAAAGGAACATTTATATTCTGAGTATGTGGGGTCTTCTTGAAGGACACATGTTGGGTTATAATCAGATCTACTGTCTTCAAAGTGAAAGCCATGCTATAGAGTAGGCATTTGTGAAACTCCTGTCTGGGGTCTAATTGACAATCCTGCCCCAAGTTTGGGGCTGTATTTATTATTTATTTCCATCTAGAGATGAAATAGTATAACCCTCACAAAATGCATGTGCATCTAAATGTTAAACTTCTTGTTTGTGATGCACTGACCTAAAGGGAAAAATGGCCTGGGTCAGGGACACTGAAGAGTGTGATTAATGATCAGTGATTTAGTGATCAGTGATTAGTGGTTTTATTCAAACTGTTACCTCTGACCAGAAGCACACATCAGAGGATTAACAGGCTCTTTAGATAAATGCTCATTAGTGGAAGGGGAAAGGCAAAGATAATAGGCATGCACCCAGGGACAACTTTCGAAGAAAATCATTCCCGTCTTCAGAATAATAAGCTCTATTAACAGAAAGCCCTTTTAATTTAAAACTTGCTTTTATCTTGTAAATCAAAGTTAGATGTAAAAGTTTGTAGTGCCATTATAACCTAAATTTTCCCATATCCTCTACATGTGGATTATCTCAGTAGTGATATACTTTTTTATTTAAATAAACAATTGGACCTTCGGAGCAGCTGAACCCTGACAAGTCCTTAACTCCCAGGGTTTGAAGGTGTCCCCCCTTCTGGAATGGAGAGTGCCGCTTGCTAACTAGATGGCGCACTGTTATTTGGCGTTCTGTGCTGTGCAGTTCAGGAGCCTAAGCGAGCAAGTAGCTGCTTGCGAGGTGTTCTTCAACACTTACAACAAAGTTGATTCTGTGTAGGGTTGGAGGCTAGACAGTTCTACAAGTTTTTAGTCACATTTTCCATGTTGGTTAAATCTAGGGAGTTAAAGGCTACTGGAAAAATTAGTCTCATTACTAAAAGAAACGTAGAGAACGAGGGAGGAGAGGAGGTACGAGAGTCCAGGAGGTACCTCTGAATTGCAAAAGTGATTGTAAAATACCAGACCTGTTCTTTTTTACTAAGGGCTAGTTTCACAATCTTGTGTCTGAAATACTGAGGCAAATACTCAGATTTATTTTCTTCCTAATCTTGCTGGTGAAAAAAGAAGTTACTAGAGAGAAAGGAAGAAAAAAACACACCTTGATTTGGTGACTGCAGGAAGCAACACGTTGCTGAATTTATTCTACAGATAATGGTAAGATGCTGTTTATTATGCTTATTAAGCAGAAAGGGAACTTTGCAGTTTGGTTAAATGAAGCCAGTCTTTGTTTTTTCATAGATGGAATTCAGAAATGGGATTCGTCTTTTGCACTGAATATTAATGTTGCTTTTGTCAGTTTCCTGGGACTTGGTAGCATTTTGTGTGGAAGGGTGTGTGTGTGTGTGTGTGTGTGTGTGTGTGTGTGTGTGAATAAGACCATTATTTCCTGGGTAAAATAATGTTTATGAGCATGTTTATGTATCAGGTAAGAATTCCCTTATTCTATGAACTTTTATGAATCACTATAATAAGTACTTAAGTTTTAATAAGGAAAGAGTTCTTAAAAAGGGAGCCTAAAAATTAAAAATAAAGCAAACAAACAAAAAAAAAGATTCTCCACATTCCAACCTAGCTGTGTATTCCATGGAAGAAGGGTGCTAACAACTGAATATCAGCTATTAGTTTAGTTTTAAAACTGAGAAAACAGTGAAAGAACTCACCTGTGCCTCCCTATAAATGTTCCCATTTTCTTTGCTTGTAGCACTTAAATAAATCTGTTCTTTTGAAATCCTGACTGATATAGCGATTTTTATTTTCCAACTTGACTCAGAGTAAACACATTTGCTCAATTGATAGTATCTTCAAGCCGACTGTTTTTAAATGTAAATTGCTGATATCCATAAATTGCCTAGAAATTAGAAGTCAGCTGTGACCTCATGTAGTTTATATATGAGCAGATAGTTTGTTAGAACATTTCCACCAAAAGAGTGAAAACTGTGCCTTTACTTCTGTATCTTTGTGGTATTGCTGCTTTTTTTGAATAGGTGGTTAAATGAATGGTAGTTTGTCCAGAGACTTTTCCTTCATAGCTTTTCAATGACAGTGAATTGAAGATTTTCATGATAACTACTTGTCAGTTTTCCACACCACAGGTTCAAAACCAATTAGTCATGGACTTTCCATGGCTATTTGTACTGAAGTCAAGTTCTTGGTCCCCTGATTTCTTATTATAATTTACTTTTTAGCAATGATGTATCACCGTTCTACAGCCTTTCCCTAGCATTGGCATTTGCTTCTTATTAAGTTGAAAATTATTTTGTGTCTGTGGGGGTGATGCTGGCTGGATCCCTAAGATGTGAACTTGGTATTTGCTGTTGGTTTTCTTCTGGTTGTGTTGTTAAATTAAAATTAGGGATTTGAGTGGACTGATTATTTTTGTCATCTTTTCTTTTTTTCTTCTTCTTCACTTCAAAGCATTGCTGTTAGTCACAAAATTAATGTGATCATGCTGGTGTTTCCCATCTATATGCTTCTTTTGCTTCTTACAAATTGGATTTCTACAGCAATTTAAGATCTTTTTTTAGAGACAGTTTTCTTGGATGAAGATGGAACAATGATCTCAGTCAATTCATTATCTTGTCCAGCTTGACTACCAGCTGTATTATGGGAATCAACCAATGCTTTTATAAATTAGTGTTTAAAAATTCAAATCTAGGGCTATTTCTTTGAATCCTATTTGAGAAAATTATACAACTGAGATAAGGTAATAAATGTGTGTGTGG